TAAGAATAAGCTGACAACTAAAAAGGCAGAAATTGCCACAGGGCAAGACGGAGTGTGACAAGAGATTTCTCCAGGCCTGGTCTGTATAGGTGACCTACCATTCCAGTCCCTAACCACACACACACACACACACACAACCTTGTTGGATGAATTCTGGATCCCACACAACATATGGCTTGGTGCCTGAGGCGTCCCAATTCTGACCTGAACATTCAAAATGGCCACTGGCACATGCCACAACCAACCCTGGCTTAAATGAGGCATCCCGGGCTGCAGTGTTCATGTGAACCACTGAGCCAAGGCCTCCCTATGCTTGAGTGGATGCATCTATCTAGGTGCAAACATCTCCCCTCGCGCCTGCTTCAATCAAGCCCCACATGCCATTAAAGGACAACACATTAGCAGAAATCACCTTCTTGCATTTTTCTGCCTCTCTGAGTATCTGGACTAAGCTAGGTATTGCCAATATTGCCAATTAAACAGCAACAACAGAGAGATTCATGTGGCTGGCCTATGATCAGCTCACTTCACCCTTCTCCCTCTCATTTGTCTACCCATTGAAAGGAATGGTGAAAATCAACAGTACAAACATCTACCAGAATTTGCTCTGCTATGCCCTCTACGCCTCCACAAAAGCCGTCTGAAAAGGCAGCTGAAATGTTAGGCTGAGTCTCCCTCCCCCCCACTCCCCCCCAGCATCTCTCCCCACCTCTCACTTTTTCTCTAATGCATTATGAACAGAAGATGCCAGTGTACCAATGGAAATTCTTTATGTGCGAAAAAACGTCATCTGCTTAGTTCAGCGGTGGCTGTGAGAAATTTTGCCCTTATTCAAACATTGACTCTACTTGGCTCCCTCCAAGAGGAAGATGCAGAAGGAATTCTAATGCTGAATGCTTGGTCAAGACATACCTAGAAAGGAAAGGAAAAGAAACTATATAGCAGTAAAATGAGCTCCTAGCTGAAACACAGGAAAACGTTGCATTCATCAAGCCTTCAAAGATGTGGGAATTAAGGCCTCTTTACTGCTTTTCTATGTCCTTATCTTAATTTGTGACCTCTGGCAATGGATACAGAAAAAGAGTGAGCACATATTGAATTTTGCCCAGCAAACCCCAGAGGCAATAAGGTTAGAGCTCTTTTTCCTTACCAGTCATTCCCTAAAAGCATTTCAAGGTTTTATTGGCTCCCCCTTAGGCAAGCTCACTTTCATCCTGTTGAAAGTTTTATGTACACCTTCCAGTTAGCTACAAAGAGCTGGACCCACTTGCGTCACAAATGTCATTCTCCGTGGGAACCTTGTGCTAATTTCTTCAGTGTCAAGTTAAACTCCGACGCATTCAGGGAGCAATCCTATGCATGTTCAGGCAGGAAAGTCGGACAGCTCCTGCTTGCTGCAGCCGTAGGACTTTTCCATTGAAACAAGCATTGGATGGTACCCTTAGGCTGCCATATTACTGCAAGACGGGAAGCCCCTGGCCTTGGCAGCCTGCATGCATCCTGCACCCTGAACAAAGTGCGCCATGCCTTGCACACTTAGTTTTATCTAGATGGCCATGCTCAGCCATTTAGATTAATCCCCAGGGAGAGAGGGGATCCTCTCAGGAAAGCTGCCGACAGAAATCAGAGTAAGTCCGCTGCCATAGTCCACCCCCAGCTTCTTCCCTCTGGGACCTCAGGGGAGGCAGCCGACATTATTCTTTCCATGTCTGCTGCAAGGAGAGCTCAGTCTTCAGAGCTGTGGCTCCAAGAGTGCAGGGTGAAAGCGGGAGACCATAGAATCGTGCCCTTAGTGAGTTAACATTAATAGCAAGGATAGAAGTATTAGTCCCACATGTGGAACAGGAAGAGATTGGACATTTCCACTTCTTCTTCTTCCTCCTCCTCATCATCATCATTATCTTTGCATACCATCTGGGTGGTTCACAACATTTAAGTCCCCCATCCAGATTTCAACCAGGCCCGACCCTGCTTAGCTTCCAAGATTAGGCCGGATCAGGGACTTCAGGCTATATGAAAGTTATACATCATGGCTAACTCACATCTCTCCACTGACACCCGTCTTCCCAAACCATTTTATATCAGTGGGAAGGAACCCATTTTCCAAGCCTTTCAGTGATTCTTTCTTTAATCAAGGAGGTTTTGAATCATTTAGTGCCTTGTTAAATCTAATGAGTGAGATTTATTATGAGTCACTTCCCTTAATAGCTGACCAAGTTTCACAAAATCTTATTCATTAAGGTATAAATATATAATAGGCAGCTGTTAAACCTTAATAAATATGTTTAATAGCTGGCCTTGCATTTTACTCCTCAATGGCAGGGTTTCCCCTCCATTGCTAACAGGAAATGCTACTTCAAGTCAGGCTCACCAGTTGAGGGCTCAGTGTGGGCAAACGGAGGCTCATTTGTGCTTGGAAAAAGCACCCAAAAAGGATGCAGAGGACAACACTGTGGGCACAGGATGCGTGTTGCTCGCCCCTGGATTGCCTGTACCGTTATCACACCTACAATGTCAAGTAACACTATGTGCCACAAACACAAGCAGAAGGCTGGAAGTGGCAAATCTGTCGTGGGTGAGGATAGCCTCAGTCACTGGACCGGAGGTGCAGTCACCATTCTGAAGGAAGGCACTGATACAGTCAAGGGGAGGCCTCCAACACGCAGGTAACTCATTGGGTGGGTTAACATGACCCAAAAGCAATGGTGTTTTTTGATGCAATTTGGTTTGTCCTGTCACCTGAGCTCCATCATGGTATTACAGTGGTATCCGAAAGCTTGGCTTTAAGAAAACATGAGCAGGAACAACTAAGCTCTCTTAATAGCCAGTGTGGTGTAGTGGTTAAGAGCATGGGACAGGGACACAGATGACCTGGGTTCTAGTCCCCGCTCGGCCATGGAGCCAACTGGGTGACTTTGGCCAGTCACAGACTCTCAGCCCAACCTACCTCACAGGGTTGTGGGGATAAGATGGAGGAGAATGATGTAAACTGCCTTGAGCCCTTTGTAGGAAAAAGGCAGGATATAAATTGGAAAATAAATAAATAAATACTGTGTTTGCTTGCTGCATTGTCTGTACTAGAAAACACAACTCCAAGTGGTACCAAGGTCAGAACCATAGAGCCACTCGGCAAGAGTGGCCTGCTGACATTCTTGCCAGTGGCAAAGATTTCTGCAATGCCTGGGACTTGGGGCCAGCTGTGAAAATGATCCGGAGACTTCAACTGATACAAAACAGGGCAGCAAGATTGCTAAGGGGACTGGCTTAGGTGAACATATTACACCAGTCCTTTTCCAGCTGCGCTGGCTGCCAGTAGGAGTTGGGGCCTGATGCAACGTGCCAGCATTAACATTCAAAGCCCCAAGCAGCTTGGGGACGGGTTCTCTGAAGGAACGCCTTACCCCCATGCACCTACTCTGGGAAGACTCTGGGAAGTAAGGATGGTGGCTACCCGGAGAAGGACCTTTTCAGTAGTGGCACCCTGGCTATGGAATGAGCTCCCCAAAGAGGTGCACCCGGTGCCTACTCCGCATTCTTTTCAGCACCGGGTGAAAACCTTTTTACCTTCCCCCTATATTAACAGCTAGATCTATTCCAGTTAGCTTGGGAAAGCTTCCCTCTGGTGAACAAGGGGGGTGGTGCAGGAGAAATCCACTAACGTGGCAGCCCCCCACTGGGTACTGTCACCCTGCTGCTCCTTGCCCCACCGCTCATGTGGGAGAAGCCTCCCTCAGGCACTCACGGAGGGGGCCACAGCTCCCTTCCCAGCTGATTCCTCCCCCCTTTTGCCTGAGTGTGGACTGGGGACCCTCCCTCCTGCTCAAGAGTCCCCTTGCAAGGAAGAATATGCTGGCAGGGGAAAGCAAGCACTACCACAATGTGCCTAATTGCCTTCCAGGGACATCCACACAGAAGACCACGCAAGGTGGAAAGCACACAGGGTTGCTTGGCATGGCGTCTGAACTCAGTCACTGTGTCTACAGATCTATAGATGTGTACGAAAGAGAGATGAGAGCATGGCATAACTCACAACAGTCTACTGCTGCTGGGGAAATCCATCGCCACCCAGCCAGTATGAGGACTGCAGCTTAGTTCAGGTGGAACAGGGAAGTCTGTGGGTGGCAGGAGGTGATACTGTCATTCCCACCGATAAAAAAAGTCCCAGTGCTTCAACCCTGTGAGCCCCAGCTCGGTTACACCACTGCACACAACAGCTGTGATCGGCTAATGCAGCATCAACAATTTCAGAATGCCACCATCCAAACAAGGTGAAACTAACCAGTATAGTTATTGCTTTTATATATTTCTCCTGATGAAGACCCTTCAACCCAGGTTACACCCTTTAACGAACATCTACGTTGATCCAGAGAGATAATGCCCAAGAGAAGAGCAGCATGGTGTCAAAACTCTCACAGTATTTTCTGGCACACAGAGTTCAGTGGTTAAATCAACTCACACGATCAGTTAGTTGAAGCAGAAAGACAAATGTAGCTACATATACTAAAGGAAAAAACCAATTTCCACAGCATGTCATCCATGTCTTTTCTGTAGGGCTTGAGGAGGAGCATATTCTTCACATGCATGGCTGATAAACTGGCAGAACCATCCCTGCTGCCTGAATCCACATGTGAACAAAGATGGACGCATTTTAGCTAGGGAATTGTTATGAGTGTGTGAGGCTCCATACACCTCCAACGTCTTAGTTTTCTAGTTTTCGGCAGTTTCTACCAAACAATGCCCTGAAAGGAAAACAGCATTAAAAGCCGAAGGTGTTCTCAGCATGTATCTATGCGTTATCTCTTCTTCATTTCCCTATCCACAGAAGGTAGGAACACACTGGGGCTCTCTGATAAGCAAAATAATCTGGCAAGGAGAGTACCTGTCTTTTCTGCTGCCGCCGTGCATTGTGCTAGGAAGTAGGAAATTCTTCAGGAGCATAATGGCACTGCACATGTGGGATTGTGCCTAGAGAACCGCTGCGGTAGCACCAAGCTACTCACCTGGGTCGGATTGTAGAGCTCCTGCAGTGGACTTTGTGACCCCTTCCGGCAACAGATGTCCATCCCAAATGGATTCCTACGTATTACTGATAGGAAAGAAACTGAAATTAATGAAGTGCTCCGATCATTCAATTATTGCTCAAGCATAATTAAAGCAATAAAATAAGCATATCCAAATGGCATTGCTTTGCTTAAATATTTATTTCAGCTCATAAAAGAATTAATCACAAGAGAGGATCTCATGCTATTTGGGCTTCAGCCTACCCAAATACAGCATTTGGTTTTTGAAATGGCTTAATTAATACATTGCCCTTATCACACATTTTGTACATCAAAACAATTTTATAACTTTTAATATGTATCTCCCCTCTCCCCATTTTTATTCCTTGGATAACCAGTCTTACATTTAAAATGGAAACCTGAGATTTGAGACTGTCTCTACAAATGCCACCCTGGGAATCTTTTTGGGTAAAGGGGAGGACTCATTCGGTTACATTTCCACCGAAGACTCAGACCCAACTTTGCAGTTTGGGCATACTCCTGGATTCAGCCCAGAATCTGGATTCCAGATTTCAGCTGCGGCCAGGAGGCTCAAGCTCTGACTTCTTGACACTGATGAGCAGGTCTCAATAAAGCTTTTTCTACAATAATTTTAGCAAAGGCACTGAGCCTTTAGAGTCCAAATATAAATCAGTAAAGAACAGAGGACAACATAGTTCCCTAACGAGAATCAGTCTCCAGGTTTTCCAACAACAGAGCTGAATAAACTCAGGTTCAGAATACAGAATAAGTTCAAGCAAGTTTATAGTTCCTATGAAGAAACAAGACAAGGAAGCCTTTGGGGTTAGAAAGATGCTGCTTTCAGCAATCTTGACTGTTGCTCTTGTTACAAGGGAGCAGCCACTAAAGACTTTTGGTCTTGGCTTGACCAAAGCCAAGTCTTGCCTCTTCCCTGCCCTCCTTGGTTGACAGTGCACCAATGGAGACACCCCTAAAACAGCCTCTCCCGCACAGGTGTCCTGCTGTGCTGCACCCATGGAAGTCATCCCTGACTGAGAAGCAGTCAGGTCTCCCAGCCAAGGTCAGGTCTCCCAGCTCTGAAGGGGAGGCCATGTAAGCATCCTGCACTTCACATGTCCTGGCTTACTGGCCAGTGGGAGGCCTGGTAGAACTGGATCGTTGCTTCCCATGGGTGGCCTGACTCTACAGCTTCCTCTCTGACTCAGAAACTGAAACATCTCAGGCTGTTGCTTCTCTCAGACCACACAACTAAGGCTAGTGTGTCGACCGAACCCTTTCCTTGAAAAGCTGGATCTGGCCATAGTGAAACATGCATTGGTTCCATGCCTTGAGTTTTTTTTTGACAGGTTCTTTGAGGAGCTGCTTTTGAAAAACATTTATTTATTTATTTATTTCCTCATTTATATCCTGCCTTTTTCCTACAAAGGGCTCAAGGCAGCTTACATCATTCTCCTCCTCCAACTTATCCCCACAACAACAACCCTGTGATGTAGGTTGGGCTGAGAGTCTGTGACTGGCCCAAAGTCACCCAGTTGGCTCCATGGCTGAGCGGGGACTAGAACCCAGATCGTCTGAGTCCCAGTCCCATGCTCTTAACCACTACACCACACTGGCTCTCTTATCTGAAACTTCAGCAGGTGCAGAACGCTACATGTGGAAAATTCAAGTGACAGCAACTCATGTTAATCCCCATGTTACAGCAGCTTCACTGGCTCTCAGTCCAGTGCCAGATAGGATTCCAAGGAGTGGTTTTGGCCTATAAGGCCCTATATGATAAAAAGCATATTCTCCCACAAAAGGCTGCCACCAACAAGCATATTGTACATCCTGACTGTAAAGCCCACCAACATCTGGACATTTCCACATTTGGTGAAAACTCAAAAAGGGGCCTTCTCAAAGGCCAAAGTTCTGGAACTCCTTGTGGTCCAGTCTTTGAAGACCTTTGTCTAGCAAACAAAGACACTGGCTGATAAACTTGTCAACATCCTACATTTGCTCTAAATTTATTTATGTTTCACATGCTTTCTTTTTATGATTTTTAACTTTGTATGGTCTTCTATTTTAGTCTATTTGTTTCAGTCTTGTTAGCTGCCTTGAGCACCATTTGGAGGAGAGGCAGGATACAAATTAAGGACTACAAATGATGCATTGTGGTACATTTTCATTCCTAGTCAGATTGCTTTTCTATAGCCCTTGAGGAACAAATTATGTATGCACTTAATTTATATGCCATCTTTCAGCTTAAAAGCCTCTCAGGGAGGTTTATGAGATCATAAAAGCAGTACCCAAAAGAAGAACATATCAGAAAAATCATATGGCAGAGAAGTAAGGTACAAACCTCCTCCCTGTGGTTTGAACTATTTTTCTATTTGCATCTGCTTTTGTTTTGCTCTATTGTATTTAACTGTATTCAATTTGCATTTCAAATCACCCTGAGATACATATTGTGAAAGGTGGCTTGTCAGTGCCCTAAACAAATAAATAAAAGCTTAACACAATGAAACCACCAGGAAGAATAAAAGCAATAAAGCAACAGGATCAGAATCGGCTGGATGGCATGCTAGCAGGTCTGGCCAAATAAAAGGTCTTCCCTGGACAACACGCAGACACCTGCTGAGGTGGCAGGCACCTGGGTGGTAAGCAATGCTTCCTGGGAAAGCAATGCCACCTCTGGTGCGTCACGCTGGTGTGCCTGTTCTGAGTAACCACAGCAAGGGCCAACTCTACCATCTGCCAGGTCAGCTACAAAGATAACGGCCAGCTCCACGTTACAATAAAACTTAGAACTTAAAGATTGTGCGAAACAAAACACAGCAGGAGTAATTAAAGAAGGTGACATGAGAATCTGCTCGGGTAATTTAACCGAAGGGGCAGATTACATTATGTACATACAACAAAACCTACAGGATGGCCTTCCTCGATCTGTTTTGGATGTCAGTTTGCATCAGCCTCAGCCAGTAAGACCCATGGTCAGGAATGCGGAGAGATGTAACTCCTGCGCGCCTTAGAGGGAACATTGACTCAGAACAATGCCAGTTCTGCTCCTGATGTGGTAACCGAGGAACTGCTGCCACCCTCTGCAACACGGCCAGGGATTCTGCAACATGCCCTTCTAATTATGCCATGCTGGCACAGGATGGCCAGGCTATGACAAAGGTGTATCAGATGCCATGGACAGCTGGGATAAAAGAGCACGGGGAGGGGCAGCCCTGCAAATGAAGCAGTCACTTCAGGAAGATGCTCTGTGCTGTCATGAAAAGGCCAAAAACTGTTCTCACTGCCAGAGAGAGAGAGGGGGACTTAGGACATTTTGTCACTCAGGTGCCTAGGATCTCTTGACTGGCTTTGGGTACTATGCCCCCTAAGGAAGCAACAGGCAGTATCATGTCTTGCCCCAGTGATGAGTGTAACACGATGCAGGATTTCTGATTTATTTTCCGATTTATATCCTGCCTTTTTCCTACAAAGGGCTCAAGGCAGCTTACATCTCCTCCTCCATCTTATCCCCACAACAACAACCCTGTGAGGTAGGTTGGGCTGAGAGTCTGTGACTGGCCCAAAGTCACCCAGTTGGCTCCATGGCTGACCAGGAACTCGAACCCGGATCATCTGAGTCCCAGTCCCATGCTCTTAACCACTACACCACACTGGCTCTCAGTGTGGGGATGTCCATGAGGAACAGGATGAGGAAGTCCATCAGATATTCAGGTCTTGAGCTCTTATGGGTCTTAAAGGCTAGGAACGGTGGAAGGAAATGGAACAGCAAACTTGAAGCACTTGGAACAGTGCTAAGAAATGGAAGGACACACCATTCAAACAAACTGGGTCATACTTAATGCTTATCACATTAAAATCTGAATGAAAACACTAAAACAGCTTTGCCGAAGTGAGGTAGGGCATCCCTCTTTTGTCCTGAAACATAAACAAATGCCTTCCCTCTAATCTAAACTGAAACATTAAAAAGGTGATTATCTACTGCAGCTTTTCGCTAAGCAGAGAAAGACACCACAGCTTTTGGGTATATCTCAAATGGCTCCAGTAAACAAACACACTTAATGTTTTGATTTCTCCTTCACAATTTAAACTATTGGATATTACTGTGGGCTGTAATTTTAATTAACTTCTGAGGATTTTTAGTCAAACAGTTCAATGGAGCAATTACTTAAAATGTTGAATGTTAAATACATGTCAGATAATAACAATTAATCTTCAGCAGGCACAAATACACATTCCTTGAATGAAAATGCTCTTCTCTAGAGACCCACATTAAATCATCAATCTATATCAGCTTTCAACAACCAAGTAAGTGTTAATGTGAAGATGAGGGTAGGGCTTTGGATGTATGAGCAAAAAATCAATACTCTAGCCATCAGAAATGTCAAACACCCTCACAAAGTGCAAATATCTATGGCAGCTTTCCTCAATCTTATGTCACCCACATGTGTTGGACTGAAGCTCCTGTCACTGATGTTCTTTGACCACAATGACTGGGACTGATGTGAGATACAGTCAAAAACATCTGGAGAGCACCAGGTTGGGGAGGGCTGATCTATGTCTATTTTAATGCCTAAGCATTACTAAGATCAGAAACATACAGTACAATCAAGAATGATTTTATGTTGCAGAAACTTTATTTCTAATAAACAACTTCCTTAAATAAATGACAACTTCCTGAAGTTACGCCTTGCTGCATCAAGCACTCCACCTGTTCGCAAAGTCACCATAGCTAAAGGAGAATCAAGTGTGCATGTGACAGTGATCTTTAAAAAATCCATCAGAGAAAATCTTGGGCAGGCAGAGTTCAACAGGTCAGGCCAGATGGAGAGTGTTTGGGGCAGCATTATTTGCCAGGGTGGGGAACAGATCAGCCTCATTTGGTTTTAAACTGGAAATCTTCCAGTACATTTCTAATGGAGTAGAGGAGGACTATGTAATCCACCTTGGGCTCCTTGCAGGAGAGAAGAAGGAAGAATATAAATGCATTGTAACAACAACAACAACAACAACAACAACAACAACAACAACAACAACCATAGCCAGATGAGGCCATATGTACCCACTGACC